TATCTTAATTTAAAAAATAGTAATTTTCACATTTTTTTCTTTAGAGTTAAGTTATGAAATTTTATAGATCTATAGACACACCTTTAGAAACTATATAAAATTACAGAATTTGCAATGAACATTTTATGCCATCAACGTTCTTAAACAATAAATTTAAGAAATAAATTTTGACCGCATACAATTCCAACATTCTAAATTTTTCAGTAAATGTAAAATTAGAAGATAAAAATTATTTTCAGCTTTATTTAATTCTGTGCATTAATGCAATAAATTTTTATAATATTTCTATCTATCTGATAGTCCATATGTAAATTTTTATATTGTAATATATATTATATCTTATATTATATCTTATATGCATGTAAAATATAAAATATGTAATTTACTTCTGAAATGTTTTATTATTTTTATTATTATATATTTTATAAATAGTAAAATATAATGAAGAATGAAATATTTGTTATTTTATTATAGTATATATTTAATTTTAAGATATTAATATTTTACTTTTAATATTTCTAATGTTACGATGTTTATCTTTTGAAATTGGCGCTTTTTCCAATCAAAACTATGCGACAGGTCACGTGTTTCGCAAACCTCAACATCAAAGGTGTCGACGCTTTCTGTCGTAACTGGTTAAACTGTGACTGTACCAATAAAATAATTTTCCTTAACTATAAAACCTATGAAACTATGGCCGGTATTTACAATCAATTCTTATATTTAAGATCGTTTTAAGATAACATTTCAACCAATAACCAGGATAGCTGTATGAGCTTACTTAAGACGATCTTAAATGTAAGAACTGACTATGAATACCGGTCTATGTTTCATGATTTTACTTTTCACGCATCCAAGCTACATATATAATCGCTATACGTAAAAAGTTTCATGTGAAATGTCAATGAAAAAGCATGTGCATGAAAAATGAAAAATGAAAAGTGAAAAATGAAAAATTTTACGTGAAGTTACATGATTGACCCCCAGGTCTCTCTCTGATATCGACAATATCTTTTTTATCGATATGGTTGATAATGTTTTTCTCGATACTTCTTGCCCCGCGGAGCGCCGTGCAAAACGACAGATGGCAGAATGTCTCTGGTAACATTGCACGTGTTACGTTGCCACGGTTTAGCGAGACTTGTTATTCCGTCACGATTTATAGCAACCGGCGGACGAATATCGAAGAGATTCATCGATTGTTTTACGAAGCTGTGTCGAAACATGTATACGACCGTTGAGAAGGGTGCGCTAAATAGCACAGATTACAGAATATTTTTTAGTAAGTAAATTTGACATAACGTAGATATAGTGAAGCAATGCACACGGAAATTCTAGTCAAGAATCGTGAACTTTATGAACAATGCAAGGTCACGGATGTACATTGAGCGTATTATGCTATTAATGTAACCAACGTTGCTATTAACTGACTTGGTGAAATTTTCCGGAATGACGTCACCACGCCGAGTTTTACGTATGTCCAAACAATGAATAATTCAAAGGACCCTATCGATCGCGCGCTCTTTCAACTTGTCGAATTTCGTTTCTGAATTTCAAGTTCGTTTTATGTATTATGGTCCATCTTTCGCGCTGGAATAAGTAAATTTTGAAAAAGCGAAAATTCGCGAGTAATTTCTAGCACAGTATCAAAAATTATTTTATGCATCAATATGATCGCGTAATATTTAGCTCTAGTGAAAGTACAGTATTTGGGCGTTATAGGAATGAGGAAGTAGTTAAATTATATTCTAGACATATGTTTCTTTGCATTTATATTTTTGGTTGATAAGTCATATATATATATATATATATATATATATATATATATATATATATATGGTATAACTAAGTCAAGTATATATCATTATCTTCACGCTAAAAATCTGTCAGATATTTGCATGGGAAACATGCACATATTATTTTATATAATATATTTGTACTATGAACTACAGACTAATAAGAATAAAAATTGGACTTTGCTTTATTTGCTTGAAACTCTTATTGTGATTAACTCACAGTGATTGGATTGTTGATATTAGAAACGAGAAAAAATTCGCTAATAAAATGCTAATAAAAATTCTTATAGAATTATTAAAATGGAAATACTTAACAATAAAACAATATTTGCAACAGAACTTATAAAATAATCTGGAAATTCTTTTATTATGTTTCTTCTGAAATATATGTTTGTTTGTATACATAGAAAATGATTTGGGTTTTCCAATTTCACCCATGCATGACATTCCGCTCTATGCTAACGAAGAGAACAAAATTATGCATATGGTTGTTGAGATACCAAGATGGACAAATGCAAAAATGGAAATATGTCTCAAAGAGCCATTGAATCCCATTAAGCAAGATGTTAAAAAAGACAAACTAAGATTTGTTGCTAATTGTTTCCCTCATCATGGTTATATATGGAACTATGGAGCTCTACCACAGGTAAAACTTATTTTTTAATTATTTGTTTTTTATTTGCTATTTTGTTTTCTTTATTACAGTAGAATAATATTTATTTATCATAAATCTTTTATCTGAAATAATAGACTAATAAAAGTGAAAATTAAACTTATCATTTGGATTGATGGAATTAGAAGGAAAAAAATATTAATAAAAGTTCTTATAAAATACTATTAAAATGAAAATATCAATGAAACAACTTTAAATAAGCTTTTGATGTATTTAGCAAAAATCTTTATTCTTTTCCTGTTTTTGGCACTATGAATATAAGTGATTATGATAAGTTAACAAGTTTTAAGAAGAACCTAGTTTATTCTCTCTCTATCTCTCTCGCTCTCGCTCGCTCGCACAATACCATCCTGTTTGATTACACACACACGCGCGCGCGCGCGCGCGCGCACACACACACACACACACGTATACATACATGTTACATGCGTGCGTGCGGCATGTGGTGTGTATGTGTGTGTAAAAAGGATGTGTACATGCATTATAGTTTTAGAAATTTAGAAATACATTGTTTTTAAATTAAATGACAAAAGAAAACTTAAATATTTTCAAACTAAAAAAATGTATTTATAATACTTATCTATATTATTTATAAAATAAGCTGTTCTTTCCGTGATAATATCTATTACTTATTCAATGATAATCTTATTGATGTATTATCTGAACATAATAAAAGAAAGTATGAATAATCACTTTAGACTGATAGTGTATAGTCTTTTATCTATATAGTCTTTTATCTTATGTTTCATATATCTTACGTATATGTAAGAAATTGTAGGTCAAAGCATATATTTGTCCATGTTAATTATTTTTCTTTATTACTCTTGAAATGTTATTTTATTTTCTGGTTTTTTAATCTTGTTTTTTTTTACAATACTATAATTTATTATTTCTGTACTTATAATTCTGATAAAGTTAATATTAGTTTAAATATGACATATCTAATTAACAGACATGGGAAAATCCCGATGTTTTGGATGAAGCAACAGGCTGCAAGGGTGATAATGATCCTATTGATGTTCTTGAAATAGGCTATAGGGTAAGAAATAATTATAGTGATAATATATTACATAAAATGTTTTATTTTCACATTTATAATGATTTAATAAAAATATATTTGCATCCATATAGGTCGCCAAACGGGGCGAAATATTAAAAGTGAAAGTTCTTGGAACAGTAGCACTTATTGATGAAGGTTAGATAATTTAAATTATATATAAATTAAAATTATTTGATTACTTACGTATGTTTTAAAATAAATGGGATGTTATAATAATTAACATATAAATAAAATATACTACGAGCATCAGGAACAATTCTTATTTTAGGCGAAACCGATTGGAAGATTATTGTAATTGATGTTAACGATCCTTTAGCAGATCAAATGAATGGTAATTTTCATATTAATAAGAAAATATGTAATAATTAATACAATTAGATCTTTTTCTGATTAAGCTTTTGAATATGCAAAAAACACGCAGCTTTTAGTTAGAAGGTTTATGTCATGAATAAATTCTAATTTGATAAATATTGTAGATATAAGCGATATCGAGAAGCATTGTCCAGGCTTACTGAAAGCTACCATTGAATGGTTCAAGATATATAAAATTCCGGATGGAAAACCGGAAAATCAATTTGCATTTAATGGTGAAGCAAAAACAAGAGAATTTGCATTGCATATTATTGATGAAGTACACCAACATTGGCAAAATTTAGTTAAACAGGAAGATTCATCCGGTGAAATAGAATGGTTAATAAAAATCAACCTTTATATT